ACTGCAGTTTAAACCATATTTGGGTAAAAATCCTTTCTTCTGTTTTTTTTTTTGTAAAAATCACTTCTTTATTATCCTTTCTTTATTTAAAGTTAAAAAAGGAAAGAAAGAGGATTTTAAATTAAATTAAAAGTTTGGAGAGGAACGAGAGAAACGCGGGGCCTGACAAAAGGGAAGTGTGTTGCCGTGTTGGTGGTCGAAAGCAATGGTCTAATGGGCACGTGAGACAAATGCCTAAATTCCATGCATGCATGCTTTCTTGCCTAGCCATTTCCACTATTCAAAATAGATTGATTCTCTCTATAGTTACTACGAATGCGTCTCGTTTTAAATGGTTAGGTTTGTACTGTTCAACGAAGGTGAGGCTTTCCAGCTGCCAAGAAGTTCTTCACAATACTACCAGCTGAGAAAAAAAAAAAAACAACAACAATAACAACACTAGCTACCAGCTTATTTTGCGTTTTAAAAATTAGATAAATTTGGCTTCTTCTTTTATACACTTTGGTGGCTTTTGATATTTAACAAGTTTGTAGTGTTTGTAAATTCATATATACCACAAAATTCTGAGAGCTGAGACCCAAGTTGAAGGCCTTTTATATATACATTAATTATTATTGGAATGAAATATTTTTTTTAAACATATAAATCTTTCTATTATATAAAATGAATAAAAATAAATATGGGAGCATTATACTTTTCTTGTTCTTGACCAGGTTTCTGAATTCTATATTTGGTTTCATGATGTCGTTTTGTAACATCAGTCTATTTTGAATGGACATCAAATACACTCTATCGTTACCTATCACTTCTGATAATGAATAGGCCGCTAAATTAATTGCGATCATTACACTAAACTAGTCAGACAAATCGGTCAGCTCAATCTGTCTTATAAAAGGCCACCCAATTATATTAATACTACGGTTACTCGCATAACCAGTTGGTTTAGACTGTGATGTATACCATGGGAGGCCTATCAGTCAACAAGCCATCCTCGAGAGGAACTGCCCCTAGAGCCCAATTTATATGAGAATTTTCTGAATAGAAAAGAGAGGTGGGCTGCTCCTTCTTCTTTGTTACTTCCGAAAAACTCGCTCGAGAAGACATTTGAGAGCCTCTTGATAGCACATATTTCTTGTCACAACTCAAATGAGCACCTAGAGAAGGAGTCTCCCACATCAGTGGTAAATGATGGTTTGTTGTCGCATTAGTCTATTGGGAGAAACACGAAACCAAACAAGCATATACGAATTGAGGCGACAAGAATATTTCTTAGTTTTACATTTTCAAATATAATACAAATCTAAATTTTGAAACAAGTGGATTAAATACATGCCCTTCGCTTCCAAGTTAGGACGCAACATATGAATGGAAATGAATTAAATTTTGCATCTAGATGAAACCTAATTACATAAAATCTAGGTATTTTGGTATCAAATCTGTATCTAAAGATGAGAGAATACCAAGAGACTGTTACAAAATTATTTTAAAAATTAAATAAATTTATGCCAAAACTCACACGTCATAATTTTCATAAATTTACAAAATCATATTTTTACATCCAATTAAACATCATGAGTTTATGCCAGAATTATTAAATCTCTTTTTAAGGAAAACATATGTTAACATTACAACAAAACGGATGTGTATCATCATTTTATTTTTAATTTAGCATCGTTTTTAAAAGTGATACTAGCATTATATGGTCATTTTAAAAAGCAATGTCAGATTTAGTGAAGCTAAATATATTTAGCACTAGAAAAAGACCCACGCGATGCGTGGGAATAGTTTGAATATATTTTATCGTAAAAAAACTAAATTAGTTTAACCTAAAAACCTATTAAAATCTGTATTAATTATAAAGAAAGTATTAACAAAAAAATCTTCCAGATTATTCATTAAAAGTATTAGCAAAACAATCTTCCAATTTATTTCTTCTCTACAACGACTTAAAAAGTTGTAATTTACATGTTTAACTGAATCATATGATTTGACAAAACATTATCAATATATTTGAAAGGCTTGTGAATTAACATTTCTAGGGATATTGGAAAAATAATGAGAGGGCTTTGTGTCAAAAAAAAAAAAAAAGAGGACGGTGGACAAGAAGTGAAAAAATTGGAGAGTTCAAATAATATTTTTTTATCTTAAAAGTCAAATGTTTGTTGATTATTACAATATTACCATCACAAATAGAATTTATACCAAAATTATAGAAAAAAAATAGTACTCTTAAATCCTAGTAACTAAATAAATTTAATAAAATAATTTATTATCACTTGATTTTCATATTTTTGCCAAATTTATAATAAATTGTAAATTAATGTAGTGAAATGTTTTGTAACTTATGTGTATCTATAGAGGGTAACAAAATTTTGAAATAAAGTACTACAAAATAATGTCGGACTACCGTTATAAAGCTAAGAAAATGTAAAGACAATACATTTATTGTAAACTTTAATAGAAATCTAATGCTGTAAGATATTATTAAAAATATTTAATCGATATTTTACGAAACTTTTCAAGTAGTATAAAATATTAAATAATAAAAATAGACGTTAAAAGAAATAAAAACATGGAATATTTATAACATGGATGTTATGTTAAATTATCATTTGCATCCATTTTGATAATTTGATTTATTAATTGTTTATGTAATAGTTAGTTCACATAGCTATTAGTATTTTAAATTAGAAAGGAAACAAAAAGCATCGGTAGTCATAATTATAAAAGGTAGTATTCATAAGTGTTGTAAAATCGAATTTATAAGAGCTTATTCAATATTATCTTTTTCCCTTATGTTACCTGTTTACTTTAAAATAATGGAAATTTAGGCATATTAATTTTAAAATATATAAAATGTAGAAATAGTTATTTAAAATGTAGGCGACTTAAACATCATTAGAGCATTTCCAACTCCACTCTATTTTTTTCTTTAAACTCTATTATAAAGTACAATTCTCTCCAATCCTACTATATATCTCACTCTAAAATAGAGTAAAAGAGAAGATTATTCTATATATAGAGGAACTCTATTTTTTTTTACAATACTTCTATTTTAGAGTAGGGTATAGAGTGATACATTGGAGAGAAATCATGCTCTACTTTAGAGTAAAATATAGAGATTTACATTAGAGATGGTCTTAGGAGGTAATTTATACAACTAATGCTCCATTAATAAAAAAATCATTTATTAATAACACGATGTAAGGATGTTCATTATTTATTTGAAAGTGAAAAGAAAAAAAAAATAAGAAAAATAATATTAGAATATCTTATATATGTTAATTCTCGATTTTAAAACGACAGTAAAAAGGAAAAAAAAAAAATATATATATATATATATATATATGTCAGAGTAATTATTGAAAATTGCTAAGTTGAAGATTGTTAAAAAAAAAATTTCAATTTATACCGCATTAATAGGAAAATTAATTTTTCATAATAATTTATTTTAAAGGAAGAAGATAAAATATGGCTCATGTTGGCAAAAAAAAGAGCAACTTTTATATATGTGTAGAATAACTTTTAAAACTGTTTTTATATGAGATTTGAAATTGTATTTAGTGATTTTGAAAACTTGTCACCTATTTAGAATTGTTAGATAAACAAAATTCATCACCATATAGAAATATTTTTAACAATTTAGTCTACATACACAAAACATATATATATTAGGAAATATTTTCTTTATTTTCTGATCAAAAATAATAGAATTCAAATATACAGAGCATATCTTACCATTATAAACGTAATAACATATGACATTCTGGACTGAAATATACTTAGAAAAATGACATAAAAACAAAAGAAAATAACATATGAAGGAAAAAGGAATAGAAACCAATAAAATTAAATTCAAAGCATCAAATTAAAAGAAGAGATAACACCTAAAAAAACAAATCTACTCTCAAAACCTCATGTATTTTGGTTTTTGTTGGATGTTGGGTCTCTCATGTTGAAATTTGAGATTGGTTTGAGATTTGAAATTTGATCTTTATTTTTTACTATAAATTATTTGGAAAAGATAAAATGTTGGAAAATATCTCTTTATTCAACAATATCCTTAAATTATTTTATCAGCAAATAATTTTGATTTTATTTTATAATCTGATTTGAGGACTATTGTGGTTATTGTTCTCAAAAATCAAATAAACAGATTTATTGCACTCAAATTAAAAAATAAACTGAAAATGACATGTGTCAAAAGAGTAGAACGCCAAATGTCACATTCTTAGAGCTTGTTTTGAAGAAACCTTGTCATATACTTTAAATTATTTTATCATCAAATAATTTTGATTTTATTTTATAATTTGATTTGAGGACTATTGTGGTTATTGTTCTCAAAAATCAAACAAAAAGATTTATTGCACTCAAATTAAAAAATAAACTGAAAATGACATGTGTCAAAAGAGTAGAACGCCAAATGTCACATTTTTAGAGCTTGTTTTGAAGAAACCTTGTCATATTATATAAGATTGCTTTATTAAATGACGTGATAACTAAATTTTAGCATCATTTATAATTGGTTAGTGTCATAATTTGATTTTGACGTCAAAATCATATATTGGTTCAAAGGAGCAATCACTACAGGAAATGTGGGTATTGATAGCACTAAAAGATAACGGTTTTTATGTCTCTGCTATATTTGACTTGATCGTGATTTAAAGATAGCGTTTTTTGAATTGTAAACGCTATAGATGATTTAAGCGGGACATGCTGAAATTGACGCGGCCAATTTTCGGGTTACTAAAGTTTAATTCCCGCTATTGAATCTGTTAAGAGGGAAAAATGTGAAATTTTGGCTAAGGCAAAATAAATTAAAACAAGAAACATCACTTTTTCAATTTTTTCTTAAGGCAAAATAAACTTCTTCTCTCTCGATTTCTCTCGATTTCTCACAGTCAACAACACATCTCACTTGATTTCACTCGAATTCTCACAATCTGCAACTCAATCTCAGTCGATATCTCTCGATTTCTCTCGATCTCCAACAGGTATGTTCATATTCAATCGTAGCAAATCTATCTTCGTCTCGTTCTCTGAATGTCAATCTCGATCCTCTTATGTGTAGTCTCAATCTGTATCAATTTCTCGTTCAATTCAGCATCTCGTTCGATTCAGTCTCTATTGTTTTTTCTTAATCTCAGTCTAGTACTTCGATCTCTGTCTCAATCCTTCATTGTCACTTTTCATCGATCTTCATCCGTGTAAGTCGAATTTGACATTTACGGTGACATTGTGTTTGGGTTTTGGGTATTTGTCTCATGTAAAGTTTTAATTTACATCGATGAATTTTTTTCTTTTGCAGGAAGAGCTTGGTGAAACTTCTGTTGAAGGTTTATGAGTTTCATTTTGATATATCAATTTTAATGTTTTGGTAAATAATTGATATCTAATTGATCTCTATGTGACTGTTCTTGACTTCTTGCAACTGAGTTACGCTCATGAGAATAACTGAGTTACATGTTTTGGCAAGATGTCGCTTGCCTGTGATCTTGTGGTGTCATCCATGTAAAAATACACCGGTTGTGGTACTTCCATTTGTACTTCGTTTGTATAGCTTCCACATTTACATGTTGCCGTTTTTTTATCTTTATTGCAGGAAGTGGAGATGTGATTGCCCGCTCATCACAACCTTTATTTGGTTTGATGATGAACATGAGGAGGTATATCAAAGTTATTTTATGACCAGATTTTTCATGATAATTTAGTTTCTTATTTGGGTAGGAGAAAAAGATACTCGCTTGTTTCATATGTGCAAGGTGGTTAAATATTGATACTTTGTTTTGATCTCATAGGAAGCTTTATATCGTAGATGCACTTTAAGTATGTTCTTAGGTTCTTCTCTTTGGCAAAGTCTGCATTTTTTGTTTTGGACTGTTTTTTTATTAGTGCGATTAACATAGACTTTCATGTTTTTACGGGAAGCAGCAAAGGAACAATGATTGTAGAGTAATGGGATTAGTATTTAGCCAAGTTTTGGCAAGTTGTACTGCCGAGTGAAAAAGACACACCTGAGGCTAACTCCGACCACATCCTGTAGATTTTGTAGAATGGAAGAAAAGTTCAATCCTTTTTGTAGAGTTTTAGGTCTTCATTATTATTTTTGTTCAGTCTTGATAAAGTTGTGGAGCTAAATTATCAGTGGATTGCATTTGATGATGTTTGTTACCATGTTCAGGTGAAATTTTTCACTCTTAAGATTTGTATAAGATCCATATGCTCTTGTTCAGTTTTCTGATTTTATGAGTTTGTTTGATAGGTGACAGTGAAGAATCCAAACCTCTTGTTGCTTGTGGTTTCGTTACCAAATCCACCACCTGAAGCAATGTCCTTTGATGGACTTCCATTAGGAGCTATAGAAGCCATTAAAGCTACTTACAAGACTGGTTTTCAAGAGGTTGAAGTATTGTCTCATATCACATGGAAACCCAAATGGGGAATGATCTTCTCTGATATCAAAAAGAAAGTCAGCAGGAACTGCGAGGTCTCTCAGAGATCCACGATGGCTATTACAATTAGTTTAAGTGTCGAACACTTTGTGTTTTCTTTTATTACATGCACTTGACTATGTTTTCTTATGTTACTAATGGCATATGTTTTCTCTTGGTAAAAATATATCTGAGAATGCAAACACAAATACACAAACTTAAAACATCTTAACTGGAAAAAAATTGAAATAATTATTTTATGGCATGTACTTTAGGTTTCAAGTTAAATGATTTTTAGGATTTTAAGATTTTGGTTATGATTTTCGAATTTTGTAAAAACAAAATAAAGGAAAAAGAAAGAAAAAAAATATAACCAAATATCTCAAAAAGACACAAATATTTAATTATAATATTAATAATTATATAAATAATAACAAAGTTATAATTTTAAAGAGTTTAGGGTATAGGGTTTTGGATTATATTTGTTTGAAATAGTAATAATATTAATTATAACAAATAATAACATAAATAAAATTCATTTTTAAAAATAGTTTAGGGTTTAGGGTTTAGTTTTAGGGTATAGGGTTTAGGGTTGGAAGTTCAATCTTGAAACATATTTCACTTTTTATAAATTAACAAAATAAAATGCAATGAAATTATTTTAAAGTAATAATACTTGAGTAAAAAAATTTAAACCCCAAAGTTTAAACCCTAAACCCTAAACTATGCCCTAGTGTTTATGAACATATAAGTTAGATAGTTGGAATACTAACTTATATTAATTGTTCTTAATTTTAAAATTTTATACTTATAAGAAAAAATATTCTAAAAATTGAAATACTTATATTAAATTTTTAAAGAAATAATTTATATTTTTTTTCATTAATAAACTATTTTATATGATAATTTTCTGATTTTTTCATTAATAGCCAATGGGAAGTAACCTCCCAGATTGTGGGACTAATCCTACACCGTTAGATAGCGCCGACTTTGATCTCAGCCGTCCATTCTTATTGTTGATGTGATTAATGTACACCGTTGATCTGTCTTGATAACTTTGATCTGAGCCGTTCTTTTTCTTAGCCAATGAACATTAACCTCGAGGATTGAACTTTGGCTTATTCTCCACCATTGATGAATTAAATCCAACGGTTAAGATTTTCTCCTTCTTTTCTTTTTTTTTTGGTTAAAACTTCTTTTCCTTTTACCTCTTCTCTTCGTATGAGAAAATCAAAGGTCCCAAAATCAACCTCTGCGAATCTTGAGCAAGCGTATCGCTCCCTCATCTCCGCTTCCAGAGGTTTATCTCGCACTCTTAGCCCTTCTCTTCCTGAATCTCAGCCTCCGCCACCGCAATTAGAATCCCAATCCCCTTCTACGGTGGTTAGCTCGTTCCCAGCTCCGGTGACGCCGTCGCCTCCATCTCAGGAGGAAATTCAAACCAGAAGCAGGAACAGAGAAGAGATTCGAAGAGTGCATGACTGCTATAAGCGTCTCAAATCTTCTATTGGTCAGAGAGATGGTGGTGGGTGCTCTGCGAATCTTGAGCAATTAGAATCCAATCCCAAGACGAAGGTACTTATAATAAGAAGAAGACGAAGCAGGATGAAGCTTCCCTCAAGGTTCCGTCAGATTTGCAGTCAGATTTTGAATTGAAATCGATCGAATTGAATTCGTATGTTATAGAATTAGGGTTTTTTTTTCGCAGGCAAGCTATTCGTTTGTTAAAGTGAATGTCATGTCTGTCATTCGATTAGCATGTTAACTTGTAGATAAGTATATGGTCACTTAATGACTCGGCTTCCATTGGCTGTTATTGTAGTCTGAAGAGGACTTGGAACTAAAGCAGAACCTTGAGCTCTATGTCGAGAGGGTTCAGGATCCCAATCCCGAGTTGCAGAAGGCTGCTCTTGAAAGCATGAGGTAATTCCTGAATCTCTTTAACCCAAATTTAACTTGATCAGCTTGGAGTTTTCGGATTGTTGCCATTGAAGCTTGTACAACTTATTACGTTTTTTTGTGTGTTTTGTCTTGTTGTTCCCACTTGCTATTTGGAGTTTGAGAGGAAACCAAATGCAGTCTCAGTTTTACTTTTCCCTTACAATTCTCCAAAACTACGTTCTGCTTACAGCTTGGATTCCCTTCATGGCGCCTGGAATTTCTCTCACGCCCATAGTATATGACTGCAGTAAAGCAGAGCCAGTCTTCTATCATTAGTCAGCTGACCTTAGGAGCGATCGATCATTAGTCAGCTGACCTTACTGGTTCTTCGTCAGAGCCGGGCGCCGTCCATCACGTGGCGTTTGTCCACGGGTCAAGGAGAGTAGAACCGGCGGGGTACTTCTTAGTGTTTTGTGGTACATACCAAAAGGTTTGTCATTTTATACCGATTGATATGGCTTTCAATTTGTTTACCACATTCACCGAGAGGCTCCGCTTGGTCTCTTGGCGCAGTGTTTTTGAATAGGCGCTGGAGTCTGTCTGAGTATGTAAAAGATGTGGTGGATAGGATAAGAAAGAAACCTTCTACATCAGCTAATTCTTCTTCCACGAGGGACTCAAATAAAGGAGGATCGGTTTCTTTCCCGTTCATCGTATCCATAGGATTGGGGGTCTCTTCCTGTCCTGAAGAAGCAGCTCTTTGCCTTTCTGCTTCAAAGAAAGAGGGGGAATGAGCAGATCAAGCCTTTCCCTTCATGCACTAGATGGATCACTTATTTTTATAAGGATGAACAGGAATGCTTAAGATAACGAACCTTGACCAACTTGTTCAAAAACAGAGGTCGGCCTCTTCATCCTTCAAGCTTTGAGTGGACCGGGTAGCGTCAATCAGAGTGTGAATGAAAGGTCAAGGGAACAAGCAACGGATTGAACAACGTTAGCGAAAGCCTGTAAGACAGAAACGGAAAGAGTATGCGCGGACTAGGTTGAGAATCTCTGCGAGGCAGCACACCGGTATAACTTAAACTGTTAGATAATCCTAGTCGGCGAGAACATTACTATTTTCACCGCTATTTCAGAACCGTACATGAGGTCTTCGCCTCATACGGCTCCTCGGGGGCGAAGCTCTTCTCCTTTCCTTACTCTAACAAGTAAGCAAATAGGAACAAGTTCTTATATTTGAAGGTCATCTAGAGGGCCAGTGGAAGTACAATCATATAATCTCGATGTTCATTGCTATACCATCATTTGCTCTCTTATACTCAATGGACGCCGACCCCCTGCCCCTGGTAGAGGCTGCTCTCCCCCGCAGCCCGAATCTAAAGCCACTTGGCGTTCCAACCCAGTTCCAACAATGCACCTTTCGGACCGAGAAAGTGGAACTGCTTGACGTTGCATATTAGAACTCATTAAAGCTAACTTCACTCCATCTTCCCACCCATTCTGTCGATCAAGTGGTTATAATGACCCAACCCTGGAATGAATTTGTTTCCTTACGTTTTCGATAAAACCCTCTCGTAAAAGGATTTTAACAATACTTTCGGTGATGTTAGTCGGTAACTGTATCGGCTAAGGGGCCGGCGCTCCGCGTTCTAAGAGTATCTTTTCGTAGGAACTCTCTAGGCACTTCTCAAGTTATTTGCAGCATTTCGGGTATAAGACTTGGATTGCTATCTACCCCTTCAAAGTTCACAGCCTAGCTACTGCACCCCGACCCGAGTCCCCACGTCCGCTCTTACCGCCTCCTGGGCGAGACAAGCTACCTTGAGCTAGGAGCCTGTTTTCCTTCTGCCTAGCTCCCCGAGAACAACGTTCGACTTGCATGTGTTAAGCATATAGCTAGCGTTCCTTCTGAGCCAGGATCAAACTCTTCTTTTGACTATGATTGGGCCCTGCAGTGGTAGAACCTCGTGAACACAACCAAAACACATTTCTTGTGCTCAGTCGTGCGGGAAGGCTAGTAAGACCTCTCCCCACCGAGGTCTGCTGCTATTGAATCACCTGTACTTGAATATGTAGATTCTTTCTCCTACTAGTGAAGAAGATTGCATGCTTGAAGCAAGATCGATATCTCCCTAGGAACGCCTGTTTACTTTGAGTGCGATACAGCTACTCGACCGCCTGCCCTTTCATATGGATAGAGGGAATTTCCCGCTCCGGAGGAACCATAAAAAAAGTAAGGGAAGCTCTTTTTCGCAGGGTCAGAGGGCTGCCGCGCCTTGCCGCAGCAGCGGGGCCTACGGTCGGACAGCTGGGACGTGTCTGTTGTGAGGCTTGCGGGGAAGCTTGCCTGGATTATCGCCCGTGCCTGTTGTCAGGAATGCGCGCGTGTCTCCCTAACCTAAATATCAAGGACTTCAGGTGTTTAGATTCCAGATCAGGGATTACTTGTTCTCTGGTAGTGGTGAAGATGGACTCAGAGAGGGAGTTTCTAGTTACGTTTCTATGCACTATTGTGTTGGAACTCTTTTATTTTCCTGAGCTATCTCTTTGGGGATTGTTGTTGTGTGGTTTGTTGCTTTATATTGCTGTTAGAGAGTTGGACTCTGTGTATTCAGATTATCAAGAGATTGGGATGGAATCGCCCGAGTCGTTTTCCACCATGTTTATGAAGCCTATCCACCAGCCGATGTGCAAGATATTGCACCTACACAAGTGACTCTTCTTCTGATTGAGATATCTAGTGCCAGAGGAAGAAGATGAAGATAGGAGACAAGGGCACATGAAGAGGCATTCTATGTAGAGGAGATGTATTGGTCTTGTATTTTTAATTGATGTAGTATTTTTATAAAAGTTTTTGTATATGATTTCATGTAATAATGATAATAAAATATTGTATTTTTTATTTTTGATATGTAATTTTAATCCAAAAATCACAGTAAAGATGATTTAAATACAATTAAAATAATTAACAAAAATATAAATATTATAAAAATATAAATTATTGAAATAATTAATCAAATAAATATTGTAGAAAAATCAAATCATGAAAATAGGTACAACCCAATCATAACAATTATTACACGTTATTATAAATATTAATAATAGCAGTGTCATAACCGCTATCGTAGTTCAATTAACTATAGCACAACGAAAAACCGCTATCAAAAGTGTCCGACTTTCTATAACGGGCGATGTCAGAGCGCTTAAGGAAACGCTATGGTAGATGAATAATTGCGTTTTTCGGCCGCTATTAATACCCACATTTCCTGTAGTGAATCCTTCGGCACGCTTCTAACATGTGGCTTTCTCACTTGAACAAGTTGCCTACAAAGCAGAGAATGTTGTCTTGGGGTATCTCCTCTAGCTCAGCTTACTCCTTTTGTTTGTCAGCGACGGAATCGAGGGACCACCTGCTACTCTCTTGTAGCTACTCGCATGAAATCTGGAGGCTGGTCCTTGATCTCCTTGATTCTTCTAGAAGTAGCTTCTTCTCTTGGGCTGAGCTCCTCTCTTGGCTACGAGCTTTGACACCATTAACGTACACCTACCACTCTAAGGAAGATTGTAGCTCAAACGGTTGTCTATCACACATGGCGGCAGAGGAATAATGTGGTCCACAATCAGATTTCTATTCATCCGGATATCATCTTCAAGGGCATTGATCGAGAAACAAGAATCATAATCACTATAAGACATAAGCGCTAATGATATCGCAACTTGATGCAACTTTGGATACGATGAAACTCTTTCATCCAATTTCCTAATTATTTTGTCTCCTTGTTTTATTTTTTTGCCGAGAGATTCAAATACAAAGGCTCATACTTTGTAAAGCCAAACATCTTCATTTTTAATGATACTAACATTCACAGCAAAAAAAAAAAAAATTAAGACATTCATTTTTGAGAAAAAAATGGCAAAATAATTAAATTTTAAAACTGACGATGAAAAATCGTGTTTCGGAGCAAATAGAGCCCCATCAAATCTCATTTTTGCACAAAATTTTGGAATCACAGTTTTGCACCAAAACCATGAAATAATATTTTACCATTAAACCATAAGATGTCGTTTCAATGCTAAAACTGCAAAATCTATTTTTTTTTACGCCAAAACTGCAAAATACTTTCTTGACGCCAAAACCGTAAACTATTTTTTGGCACCAAACTCGTGGAGCCCACGTTTTAGCGCCACAACCATTGTTATCAGTTTTGTTGTCCAAACCATGGAATCATGTTTTGTCAGCGAAACCATGAAATTAAATTGTGTTTTGTCTCCAAAACCACGAAATCCTTCCCACCAAAAACCGCATACTCACATTTTGACGCCAAAACTAACGAAATCCCATTATGGTTTTGGCGTAAAAGAATTGTGGATTTCTATTCCAGTTCTAAAAGTTCGAAATCAAGTTATGACAGTGAAAAAGCAAAACTTCAAAATCGAGATTTCATATCAAAACGATATAATTGGATATATGGTGCCTACAAAATGTTTGATACGATCATAATTTTAATATTATCAGACTCTTCTATATCAGTCTATATATTTCAGATGAGGTCAACGTTTATTTGGAGAACCGGAGGTTTCCTGTTGCATTACAAGCATGTTGCCGTTATAAAAAACAACAATACGTTAACATATAAATAATCTTGTAGATAGAGACATTAACAACACAATAATGATATATATATGCAATTAAAAAGTTATTGACGCAGACACAGCAAATAAAGAAAGGAACCGTCACACCGGCCATAAGATCTTCCGAAGATTTGATGAAGTTCGTGGACTTCGGTGACTCCTTCACGTGCGCTTGCCTTTCCTCTCCCTTTCCTCATATATCATTTCTTCACTCTAATGTTTATTTCCTTGAATACTAATATGAAACTAGGATATGATCCGCGGTACACCGTAGGTTAATTATTTGATTTTTTATCTTTTTATAAATTGATGAATTTGTTGTGTATAATATTTTTTGTTCTACATCGCGGGTCATATGCGTTGTATCTAAAAAATAAAAAATTTAAGTTGTATTTGTTTTGTTTAGTATTTAAGATTGTAATTGTATTTTGATTTGTTAATTCTATTGTCCCGTATTAATATCGACCAAAATCCGTCCCACCATATAATCCCGTCTTGTGGAATTAAACATCATTTTGTTATTTATTTAATAACACTTTTATTTAAAAAAACATATAATTCGAGTCAATTTAAAAGTTTGCTTTCAAATGGTTTTCATTATATATATTTTTAAATTAGTGTGTGTTTTTTTACCAACCCGTAAAAATAATTTATAATTGTATCTTAAAATACTAAATACTTCTATTTTGATTTGTTAATTTTAGGATTTCACCCGTAGTATACTGTCCCGTTTTAGATAATATAGCAATTAAGGAAAGATCCGAATGACTCAATTTCGGGTTAGAATAAAAAAAACTACCTAATTAAATGCGCAATTAGTTATTCAAAAATGTTAATATAGATTACACACATATTTTTTTCTTCATCGATTGAGTAATATATGTTCGTTTTAAAAACTTTGAATCATAACATATGTAGAAAAAAATCTAAAATTTATTAACAATATATATTTTATAATAATTCAAAATAATATAAATATAAGATCAAATAAAAGTGAAATGAGAATTATATATTTATGTTTAAATTAGGTAGAGAGGTTTTAGGAAATTAGTTTAAATTTATTATATTAGCATTAAATCTTCATATTTGATTTCCTTACATATAAAAAATCGTAAAAAATATACCATAATTAAAGAGTCTAGATATAGTAATTAGTTGAGAAAATATATATATTTTAGATTTATTAATTAATTTTGTTTTTGAATTTTGCCAAAATTTAAGGAAATATCCGATTGAAGATTTCCAGGTCAAAATCAGAAAAAAACCCGACCCGATTGGAAGGAGCAAATTTGTACTTCAAAAATGTATAATGACTAGATATAGTAATTAGTTGAGAAAATATATATATTTTAGATTTATTAATTAATTTTTTTTTTGAATTTTGCCAAAATTTAAGGAAATATCCGATTGAAGATTTTCAGGTCAAAATCAGAAAAAGAACCCGACCCGATTGGAAGGAGCAAATTTGTACTTCAAAAATGTATAATGATGATCAACCTCAAGGTCCTCAACATGTATAATGATGATCAATCTCAACATGTATAATGAAAATGGATTTACAATTTTTTTTTTTTTGTGATATAAAAATTGCGATGCCTCGTTAACAGATAATCAATTATTCGATATTTTATCTTTAGTTGACCATATGGGGATTAACGTAGACTTTGATTACAGGCAACAAACTGAAAGAAACACTAAAAACGAATCTGAGGGAAGTTTCTGTTATATTTCGTTTGCATGTGCAATATATAAAAAACAATTGAATGTTTTTAGTGTAACGTAAAAGATAATTGAATGTTCAGAAAATATGAACAGTCACACGAAAAGAATTTTGTACGAAGGAGTTTCCGTACTCTTCTAAGTCTACGTACAACCAGGCATCGTAATATTTAAGAAAATGAATACTATATGCTTCACTTGGATTATTAAAATTAATGATTCAATTTAATATTTGTACGAAATTATTGGGTTGATTAATTATTACACCTCCCCTAATCATTCAAAGCTGTTTTATGTTCTTTGACTAATTGTAGCTAATTTGGAGAACATATACATTTTCTTTCTCGTTACTACCATAATACTAGATTTTAACCCGCGGTACACCGCGAGATGATTTAATTTTAAAGTTAGTATAAAAATATTTTGTAAATTGTATCTCCTTATAACATATTTATTTATATTATAGTTTATAATTGTTATTAAGTAACGGTATACCACGAGTCTACAAAACAATTATTAATATACGGAGGATTTAACCCGTATTAAAGCGATATATAAATATTGATTCAAATTCGTTTGTCATATAAATCCTTTCCGAAATATAACTTGTTCCGTAATTTATTAACCCGTCCCGTGATTTGTTTTTATTTTAAAATTTAATGATTATTTATTATATATAAAAGTTTACAAATCATATCATCCTCTAAGACCACGGGACATTATACCACGGGACAATTTTTGGTTTTATACAATCTTTTCTAAATGAGACTGATTTAATATGTCTAATATTTGTGGTATTAAAAAAAATATTTAATCCGTATTAAAGCGGCGGATTAATGATATTTTAATCTTTTTATTATTGTTGATTCAAAAACCCGTCCCGCCAAACCCGTTCGGCAAAAAAAACTCATTTATTTTGTTAATGTTCTTATTTATGATATAATTCTGAATCATTGTCTAAATATTTTAATCGATGTAGAACGTTGAACACACTTTTTCTTCAATTGGATAATATATGTCCGTTTTTAAAATTTCGAATCACAGTATATATGCAGAAAAAAAAATTGATTTTTTTTACTTTATGTATTATATGATGATTCAAAACAGTTAAAAACAAATCAAACAAAGATGATAGGAGAATCATAATTATAAATCTTAATCAAATTTTCTAAATATCTAAATTATTAAATATAGAATATCCAGTGTATGAGTTGGGTTAAATATAACTCGACCCAACAAATTTTTTGTGAAGGAATTTTAAAAACGGGTCGGGTATCCGATATACCCGGAAGCATTTTTACCCACCCGTCACCAAAGTGTTGCAAAAATACTAGTATAGATATATATATATATTATTCTCTCTGTTTCAAATTAAAATATCTTAAACAAAAGAAAAAAATTTCATTTAAGCAATGTTTATTAAAAGTTGAATGCAAAATATATTGGGTTTTTTTTAATATAATATACCAGACTGATGATATATATAGTTATATTTTAACTTTTCTTGATTTCTGTGTAGACGTGTAGTATGTCTAGATATAATTTAAAATGAAAGAGATGAAGTATGATTTTTGATTTCCTTAGCATATGTGAAGAAAATATTCTTCTTCTAAATATATGGTAGAAACAAAACTGATATAATAAACCATATAACTTTAGTTGTTTGTCATATATATATATATATTTTGAGGATTATAGTAGTACGAGCCACGGCCATGCTTTGAGTTTAAATGATGAGGAATAATATAAGAATCTAGAAAGACAAAACAGTATTTCTTGTGTTTAAGAAAGTCACTTAAAAGTGCAAAAAAGACTAGTTAATCAAAAGAACATGGTATGGGTCCCGCCTCAAAGAGATGTAGGGCCTTCGGACTTGAACTTTCAGATATTCAAAAAAATATATATATATATCAAAAGAACATGATATCATTTACTCCAGTTCTGAAGAGTCTATTGAGAAGACAATTACAGTTCGCATATTCTTGATCATATCTAAAGTTTCATTCTCTAAATGAAGAGGACAAAGACTCTTGTGGAGACTTGTAACACCCATTAGGGATGTCATTTCAATATTCTATAACAAATTTTGTTCTATTTAGTTCTCTTCTATTAGGGAGACCTGTGGAGATTGGATCTCTTATATTTGGTTCAAAGGGGCTACTCCAAGAAACTCTTTCAATATGTGGATCTCACATCTTGACTGGTTGCCTACTCGAGCAAGGTTGGCTTCTTGGGGCATGCAGATTTCTCCGCTTTGTTGTATGTGCTCTTCTTTTGCAGAGACCAGAGACCACCTTCTCCTTACTTGCGTCTTCAGTGTGTCCATTTGAACCATGGTTAAATCAAGACTCAGGCAGCCTCTTTGTCAGTTCCAGGACTGGGATTCTCTTATCTCTTGGACCAAAATTGCTGCAGCGTCTTCTCCTTCTATTCTCAGAAAGATCGTCGCTCAGGCCATCGTCTACGCTATTTGGAAGCAGAAAAATAATCTTCTACACAATGACCAAGTGATTCAGCCGCATATCATCTTCAGGACCATTGACCGAGAAATCATTAATACCATCAATGCTAGGAGGCATTGGAGAAAATTTAGAATGCTAATGTCTCTTTAGATTAGGTGATCTACGGGTTCCACCTTATAAGCTTTTTGCTTCCTTGTTTTTTCTTTCTTTTTGCCAAGGAACCAAAAAAATTTTGGTAATCAACATGTAATTCCAAAAACTTTTCATTTATATGATACTAGTATATATGCAGTCCCGTACTACGTACGGAAAAACAAATGAAAGTTCATTATAACTACAACAAAATTATTATACAATTATCATGCTATTTATGATTAAATCTCCAAAGTTGTTCATTTCTTAGATTTAAAAGAGAAATAGATGTGTTTCTGAGCTAGAAGAGAAATATATTTTTTTTTTAAGACTATGAAATCTCTTAAAATATGATATATGTACCAGAGTCTTGACTTGGCACTTCATAGATCCAAACATTATATTTACTGTTTTATTTTCCTTGATTTAATAAGAAATCTGCAAAACAATATATGTCAGTAAGACCAAAACGTCGTAGATGTGCAAAAAATAGAGAATGATCAAATCTGTTTTAACTCCATAATTCATAACTCACGTACTTGTGCTCACCATGTGCTTTCATTTGGCCTTTGTTGTTCTTCCTTTTTATCTTCTTCTCGAGTGAATCGATAAATATAACATTCAAAGCAAACCTTCTTTTGTAGCACCACAATCCAACACTGATGAAGCATCTGACGACAAATGGCTGTGAAGGTCTTAATTAGGTATTTATACAAATCATAGGAAATCGTGGAGCATAAATTTATCTATACTAGTATTTTTGCAACACTTTGGTGACGGGTGGGTAAAATGCTTCTGGGTTAATCGGATATCCGATCCTTTTTCAAATTTTGGTCATAAAAACTTTGTTGGGTCGGGTTATATTTAACCCAACTCATACACCGGATATTCCATATTTAATAATTTAGATATTTATAAGATTTGATTAAGATTTAGAATTATGATTCTCCTATCATTTTTGTTTGATTTGTTTTTAACTGTTTTGAATCATCGTGTAATACATAAAGTTAAAAAAAAAATCATTTTTTTCTGCATATACTGTTATTCGAAATTTTAAAAACGGACATATATTATCCAATTGACAAATGTGTGTTCAACGTTCTACATCGATTAAAATATTTAGACAATGATTCAGAATCATATCATAAATAAAATCAATATTAATAAAATTAGTGAGTTTTTTGGCGGGACGGGTTTGGCGGGACGGGTTTTTTTTTTTTTTGTCAACCACACATTAATTAATATATAACTCCTAGATTGGTTGCCCAATTAAGAGGAAAAGAGTCTACAAAAGAAATTTCAGAGAATAAAAGTCTAGAAGAGCGGGCTAAGCAGTCCGCTTTAACATTGCATAAACGAGAAATAAGAGAAAGCGAGAAGAAAGGGAAATAATCGCGGAGTAAACCAAACTCATCTAGCAGATTGGAGAAAGCGGGCCATTCATCAGGTGACTGTATCATCGAGACTAACTCCGAACAATCTGTTTCAAACGCCTGACAATCGATCCTTCTTGAAAGGATATTCTTCATAGCCCATATTAAAGCTTCCATCTCCGAGTGAAGTGGGGAGGGACATCTCCGCAGGCACTTTGCACCGAGTAGTATCATTTGTTCATTTCCTTGAAAACACCACCATCCTATACCCATAGTTGGGTCCGAATTTTTCCAAGAGCCATCAATCCGACATCTTATTGTCTGAACTGGGCTTTCCATAGTTTCCGTAATGGGACTAGTTTCGATCGGTTCTAACTGAGCTTCTTCCCACAATGATTTTTCACTTAAAGCGTGATTTAAGATATCTGTGGGATCTTATTGTAATCCCTTGAAAACCTTTTTATTCCTATCTTTCCATATGAACCACAAGATCCAAGCATAAAGGTCGGTTTTCTCCCCCCCATCTAACGTAGATGGTAGCCTCCAATAAAGATAATCTAGGTTTAAAAGTTCCGAGCTTAGAGGAAAACTACCTGATGCCGTAGGGATTGTGGATAACTCCCATATGTTCTGAGAATGTGAGCACTCAAATAAAGCATGATTTATTGTTTCCTCTGCCAACTCACACCTTTTACAGATAATATCACATTGAATCCCTCTATGTGCTAATTTTGAAGTAACTGCTAGGGCTCCTGAAACAATTTGCCATAAGAAATGTTTTATTTTTGGAGGGCATTTGATTTTCCAAGCTTGTGCTTGTAATGATTTATAAGTTGGGCCCCATTCGATCGGTTCTGTCATCTCTCGAGCAACCTGATAGCCTGACCTTACTGTATATCTTCCTGATTTTGTATGATATTAAATCAACAATAATAAAAATATTAAAATATCATTAATCCGCCGCTTCAATACGGATTAAATCCTTAATTTTTTTTAATACCACCAATATTAGACACATCAAATCGGTCTCATTAGAAAAGATTGTATAAAATCAAAAATTATCCCGTGGTATAATGTTACTTAATAACAATTGTAAACTATAAAATATAAATGTCTTTGAAAATGATACAATTTACAAACTTTTATCTATAATAAATAATCGTTAAATTTTTTAAAATTACTACTTTTAGAAAACAAATTACAGGATGGGTTAAGAAATTACATGACGGATTATATGGTGAACGAGTTTGAATCAACATTTATAAAATTTTAAAATTACTACTTTTAGAAAACAAATCCCGGGTTTTTTTAAATATAGCCCGTCCCATAATTTCTTAACCCGTCCCGTAATTTTTTTCGGAACAGATTTATATAGCGAACGGGTTTGAATCAATATTTATAAAATTTTAAAATATCATTAACATGCCGTTTTAATACGAGTTGAATCTTCAGTTTATTATTGTTCCGTGAACTCGTGATATACCGTTACTTGATAATAATTATAAACTATAAAACATAAAAATTTTATAAAGAGATACAATTTATAAAATTTTATATATACTAACTTTAAAAAATAAATCATCCCGCGGTACACCGCGGGTTAAAATCTAGTTTTTAAGTAAAAAATTAATCTATTTTTCTGTGTTTGTTTAAGAAAGGCTGGAAAAAAGAAGAAGCATGCTCCTATAATTATGGCTCGTAACGATAGATTGTGGAGATCGTGGAGAAACTTGATTTATTTTTAAAAAATAACAATTATTTTGTTTCGTCACATTTTTACAGAAACTTGATTTATTTATTTTTTAAATAATTTTTGAATTGACACATGTCACAGTATTATTGGTATAGTGACTTGTGCTTTATAAGATAAAGGATTTACTCACTTAGAAAAAAAAAAAAAAATTTCCCGAAGGAAGTTAATTTCTATTTTTCTTTCTCGAATCATCAAAATTGACATTTTGTATATGATGGTTCATTGGTTCCAACAGATGATCTAGCTCTTTTTGGACATTTCATTTCATGGTTTTTCAATCCTTTTGAGACGCTCCATTTAAAAGGATTGGAAGACCATGTCCGATTCAAAAACTTATTGGGCCTTGTGCCATGTTAAAAGAGGTTCCAAATTATGGCCCTATATATTTAGCAGTTTAAAAATCTCGGCCCTATTTTTCAAATAATATTATAGATTATGATCAGAATCTTTCAAAAATAGAGATTAAATATGCACAACATTATCCTATTTTATGGTTATTGTTAGAAAGATTGATAACTCTGATGAATTTGCAGCAAGATTATGGTAAGAGAAGAAAAAAGACAAGAATCAGGAACATTATTGTTTTAGTACTGATCTACACTTATTAATGCTGTTATGCATTTTTCCGAAACAAAAAACTGTTCTCTGAAAAAAAACATTGTGCCAAGCAAACGAAAAGATCTATAACTAATAATCCACACATTGTGGAACTAAAACTTCTAAAAAAGCAACACAACAAACAAGTTTTTGCTGAGGTAACCCCACAATTTCGATCTCACATCCCTTCAAAGTACTGATTCACGCATGCACGGTGAAAAGACACTCTTTTGCCTCTTCAAGTACCTGTCTCAAGTTGCAACCAAAATTACACATCCGAATAAGACACTGAGAGAAAATTCATCGAGCTTAGTGGCAAACATTCCTAACTATCGATTCTTCTTTCTCGTCATTGTGTATCATATATGACTTATTCTCGTTATCGATTTCATGAAATCTAACACTCTTTGAATGATAACCAAGTCAACTCGAAGGGAGCACAAGGAAACAAAACCCCATTGTGCAACTTTATTATGCCAAGCCATAGACAGTCTCTGCGCAATGCAGTCTATTTGGTGTTGCAGCCCTTATATTAAGCTTCATGAATATGCAAAAAGCTTTAAATCAAGAGAATCAAACAAACTGTTTAAATGAACAAAATATTTGTTATTCAGTGCTAAGCAAAGCTTTGTTCTGTCTAATCCGCCAACACAATGCAAAAGGAAACAGAGTCTAATCTTCAAATATTGATAAGAAACCTACAATGCAGCATCACTCTCTTGCCAGCGACGTAAAATCCATGTGCATCACCCATCTTTTCCAATTCCTATCAATCCCAAACCCAAATAGTACTTTTAACAAAAACAGGAACAACCAAAATATCACTTAATCCTACTCAAACAAAGAACGGTAAGGACATCAATGCGCAAGAATCTCCATAGTGTTAAACAAGAAACATATTCAGAGTAATCTACCAAATTTCCCTATAAAATCCTAAGTAAAGTAAACACTCACAAAGAAGACTACTAGCGATCCGGACAAGTTCGTTGGAAGGTACCGTTAGACAGCTCGCAGAAAGCCCGCAAATTAACGTTAAGGTGAGATGTGAGTTGAGAAGCAGCCACAACACTGTACAGAGGTAAGAACGACTGTGTGCAACCAAGTGCTCCTAGATTCCTGAAGAATTCAATTCAAAAAATAACATCAGATTCTTCCAAAATTCCAAATTTCAAATTTCAAATGCAAAATCAGAGACCAAGCAAAGATTTTCAAATGTTGATTGAACTATTCGAAATCAAGATACTAAAATCTTCAATTTCACAAAAATTCAATGGATTTGAGTCATTTGACGGAATCGATTGATTAGATTCTACTGAAATTGAATAAGAGACTATGACGGAACCTAGAAGGTGATGAAAAGGTGAAGCGACGGCCAGGTAAAGAGGATTGGGGAGGACGGAGGCGAGGAAGGGCCGTCGTCGGAGAACGGAGAGACGGTGATCTAGCGGTGGCGGAGACGAAAGAACGAGCAGCAGATCCTGCGTTGCGCCAAGCCATTGAAGGAGACGTGAATTGAGAGAGAGCGAGCAGGTTTTTGTTAGGGTTTTAGGGAAATGAATAGAGAAAAAAACTCTCGATGTGTTTGGTTTGTACGGAAGTTCAGTGTGGTGCATCGTAGAGGATAACACCGGTTGGGCAATAGCCCATATTTTTAATCGCTATTCTAGGCCCAGTATATAAAGACACAGCCCAAGATCGTTGCATAGTGTCATATGTCATAGTCATACTAGGGATTGACCAAGTATATTGCTTGTCTGGCCTGTTCGTTTGCATATCGCTGGCAACTAAAACCAACGATATCGACTAAAAGTTGTTCTTTTTTGTCGTTGGTTCAGCTAACAATCGCAGCAACTGTCGTCGCTAGCAATCAACGATTGCAATTTTTAATCGCTAGAATTTTCAGCAATCATAGTGTTCAAGAAAGCGCTAGGTGCTAAGCGGACGGTGACCCAATGCCTAGCGCTTAGAACGTCTAATCGGGACCTAGGCGATTTTTAGGCGGTTTAAACGTTTATAACATAAAACATTATAAATATGATAAGGCCCGCCTAAATAGGCGGATGTAAGAAATAAATGTTAATTTTCAATAGTAATCAACCAACTTTTTCAAATATTTAGTTTATTAATTTTTCTTCTAAACTAAATTTTAATCTTACTCATTCAATTTTGCGATACACATCAACTATCTATTTCATCACAATAAACTAAATTTCCATTCTACCATCATCGTAACGGATAAGTGCTAAAAAATTATATCAAAATAATATTTCAAATCTATCTCTTAGTTAATATCCAAAATAAATAATAAATAAAAACCATAAATAATAAAAAAGAAAACTCCACAAATTATTTTGGAAAACAAATATTGTTAAAATATATGTTTTTCTATCTGTTTTAATCTCATAAGTGAATTTTACCTCAAGTCAAACTAATTTTAAATGAGTTAAAATAAATAAAGAAAACATAAAAATATATATACTAATTAGTATTGTCATCAAATACCGAAAATTTATTCCTGTAGGCCATATAAACCCAAAGATTTTGATGTTTTCACTAATTACTACTTGCATTAAAAATTTTAAAATAAAATATAAATATAACTGTAACTATACTAATATTCTTATCAAGCTTTCAAATTTTCTTTCTTATAAGCTCATTACTTTTTTCAAAAAATTTGTGTTTTCAATTAGCGAATAAAAACACTATATTAAAGTGATAAATATGGTTCAACTAAATTAATTTTAAATAACTTATATGTTATTTGAACTTCAACGGTCATTGTTTATTAGCTAATATCCATGTTATATTAATATTTATTAAATAATATATGCCAAATTTAATTGACCAATAACACATTTTAAAAAATTGTTAGTTTTTCTTTATGGGTAAGGAAAATAAAAGTTAATTTTTTTTAGATATAGACATATAAATAAGTATATGTAAATATGTTTCTTTTTTAGTTTTCCTATTTCCTTAAAAAAAAAAAAGTAAAATATTTTCTGACACATGTCAACATCTGATCGATAGACTTGACACGTGTCGCAATCACGTGAATTACTAGATTTGAAAACCATACTTTATATAATAAGATATGATATTATATATAAAAGTTATAAAAAATATCTATATAAAACTAAACATTATAAAATTATAAACAAAAACTAGATAAAATATTTATTTATATTTATATTAAACAATATATGAATATTTATAACTATATATATATATAAATAAAACTCTAATTGAAATTGAAAAAATACATTAAACAAGATTTATGTAATTTTAGGCGGTTAAGGCGGTTATCTAGGCGTCGCATGAGAGTCTAGCGCCTAGTCGGAGCCTAGCGACTAGTCGCTGCGATTGCTCGCTGAATCCAACGGCAGACAAACGAACAACATAGCGATCAATATATATATATATATATATATATATATATTTTAAATAAACAAAATAAAATTAAATTAGATTAAACAAATTAAATTAAATATAATCAAAACTAAATCTAACTAAAATTCACTAAATATAATTGAATAAAAATATAACTAAATATATTTATACAAAATTACAATAAATTAAATTGAATTAGTTAAAGTGTAATATTATTTGGTTTTTATATGGTTTCTCTTCTATTTATTCAATTTGGAAATCTGGACATCGACCTGAAATTTGTGCATGAGTGAATGAATTTGTTCATTAGAAGTATATAAAGGTTTATGTATAGAGGATACATTTTTTAAGTTGTAGCCAACGGATACTTATCTGCGCATAAGAGTTTTGTTTCAAACGGATACATACTCTTAATTTAGTTTCAATTAACAGAATTTAACATTTTTCATCAAAAATCATATAAACACATATTTATATATTTAAAATTTTGAATTTGAAAAATTGCATCGACTGTCGCTGGCGACCAAGAAACGAACAACACATCGACAGTTTCTAGCAACAGTTTTCAGCGATAGTTTGTGGCGACATGCAAACGAACAACACAGCGACAGTCGCCAGAGATAGTCGCTGGCGATAGGCAACCGAAAAAAATACACTGTTTTGCCACAAAGAAACGAACAGGTCAGTAACCGCATAAAACATGTCACTAGATTCAGAGTATTTACGTCTAGTTCAATTCAGTTTCATTCAACCGGAGCTATATATATATATTGACATGATAAAATAGAGTTAATTTGATTTGGTTCTCAAAAAAGTAGAGTTAATTTGGTTTGTTTAAACTATTTAACGAGTTGGAGATTCAGTTTCTAATTAGGGAATCTCGGTGTAGTCGAAAATGATAACATCGACTTCCTTTTCATTGAGTGCGAGATCGGCAAATTAGAACACTCTCGAACTAAACGTCAACTAAATTTGTAAGGTTGTCGCTCAAGCTACTGTGTACCATATCTGGCGTCAAAGGAACAATGTGCTCCACAAGACCAAAGGTTACCACCTTCTTCTCTCTTTAGGACGATTGACCGAGAAATTCGCAACATCATCACGGGGAGGCGTCATAGGAAGCGTTGGAGACTTCTAATGCTTCTTTGGATTCGATAATATCTTAATTCAATAATATGTTTTTCTTGATTTCTTTGTATTGTAACCTTTTTATTTTATTTTCTTTTTGCCAAGGTTACTCTAGATTTAGGTAAAACTTTTGTAATGCCTTCACTTTCATTTTCTAATGATATTTACAAGATCAGCGAAAAAATAAACTAAATTTTCCAAAACAAAATAAAAAAAAAATTACTAGAGAAACGCAATTAATATGAAAGATGAGTAGGTGCGTAGTCAGTTCGTCAGCGATGCATGTGACAGTCATCGTGTGGACTCTATAGAGAGCACTACATAAATGAAGCTTGTCGTGGCAAATTGTAGAAGTAGTAGTATTTAAGTCAGTCTAGTTTGACCAAATTAATACATATATAGCTTATAACTAAAAGTGTTTTCTCTATATACACTTTGTTATCAATTTAAAAGCAATCAATCGAAAGATGGAAGGCAAAACTGTGATTTTCAGTGTGCTCGTAATGGGTTTGGTCATCTGGCAAATTCAAGTAGATGCACAAGAACAAAGAACCTGCTGCCCAAGCCAGTCATCCAGGGAGGAGTTTGAAGATTGCATTTCACAAGGAAATTTGCATACAGTTTGTGGAGCTGGGAGTGGATGCCTAGAGTCTTATGTGGGTTTCTGCCCTTCGCAGTATCCTTACGGGAGTCTCACAAACTCTGGTAAAAATTGAACTCACTTAGTTATATGCTTTGTTAGAGGATGGATCAAGATTACATTTTTTGATGTAAGTTGTATGTATTTTGATTTTTTGACTCAAGGTGATGTTGTCAGTGTATACTGTAAGTTGGGGTGTGTATCCTCTCTGTGTGGTGCTTTAACCAGTCTTCAAAAATCTGGTAAAAACTCTCCAAGTGCATTATTATTACATTGTTATTAGAACAAGAGAAGTCATTCTAGTTTTGTTTCGGTGATCAGACACAAGTGGAAAAGTGAACGAAGCAGTTGAACGATGTTCCAAGACCTGTTCTACTATATGCACCAAAGGATCTAAAACCGCAGTTGAAACTGTGTAATGCATAAATAAGTAAAGGGGTGGTTATCACTGAAAGTGTTGTTTCAATGCAATAATTTTCCTGTATTTGACAAAAATGCTAGACTATGGTGCATTGGTGCTAGTATAGTTTAATAAGTTGTTGCCGGTTTGCCTATGTATCATAGAGGGTTATCGATCTCTAGATTGTATCTCCCTTCTACTTGTTATTATCTAAATAAAGAATAACTAAATGTTATCCTCTCCATGCATAGTTTAATTTATTTTATAAAATCATGATGTAGTTTAATTTATTTTTCAGACTATCTAATAATTGAAGCCGATATTAACATGTACAAATGTTTTCTAATGGTCATGTCTAGGCCTGGACGTTCGGGTATCCGTTCGGTTGGTTCGGTTCCGGTTCTTTTGGTTCTAGAGTTTATGATCTATAAACGAAAACAAATAATTTCGGTTCGGCTCCGGTTCCGGTTTTTTTGGTTCTGAAGTTTAGGATCCATTCAGATATTTTCTTTTGGATATTTTTAGGTATTTTGGATATTTTTGGGTATTTTTTGGATATTTTTGAGTATTTTTTGAATACTTTAAGTATTTTTTAATATATTTTCCAAATATTTGTTGGTCTTTCGGGTATTTTGGTTATTTATTTTTAGATATAAACTCATATTTCGGGTACCCGAAATATTTCGGTTCGGTTCGGTTACGGTTCCGGTTCTTTTGGTTCTAAAATTTAGGATCCATTTGAGTATCTTAAATTTTCGGTTCGGTTCCAGTTCGGTTGTTTTGCTTCGGTTCCGGTTTGGTTCTTATGGTTTGGTTATTTTGCCGAGGCCTCATGTCTTGTAAATATGGTTTTATTCTCTATATATTAAAAGAAAGTCATTGTTGCTAATGTGCCAAATTCACAAGTTTTCTAACCTATGTTATTTATATTAGTAAATTCTACTATACACATTGCCAAATACATTTATTACAAGATATTATATATTTTAATTATTCTAGCATCAATTTTCAAACACATTTGAAGAATCCTAACTTTACCAAAAATACTTACTTCCACAACTCAAATCTTATCATTAAATGTGAACAAAATTTTCAGTATTTAAACCGGCATTTAACTTTTACACCTTGAAGTGATCCCAAAGATACGAAAACATTTAGCGATGACATCACAATTTATACTCTCCCTGCACCATTTAGTATCGGAAGCACTTGTCTGAAATCACCTCCAAAAACAACAACCTTTCCTCCAAAAACCTTGTTGTCTACGTGCTTGATAATATCACAGAAACTTTTATCTAAAGCTTCAAAACAACTTGCCCATCACTGGCGCTTCACCCCATATAATTAGCGATGCTTCTTTGATCAAATTTTCTAGCTCAGATTTAGGCTTGATCTTACAAACTGAAAACACATGAGGATTTAGTGGTATTGGAAATCTGGAATGTGCAGTCCTACCCCCTTCTAACAACAATGAAGCGATGCCACTAGAGGCGACATTAAGAACGATCTTCCCTCTAGGTCTAGACAGAGAATCATAAAGAAGCAGCATTGCAAAAAAAATCCTCAAATAATCTCCAAAACAAAACTGACTTGCTTCTATCAGACCATCAAAATAAAGACCTGATCATCATCTAGAATGTCACGTAAAAAACATGCTTCTTTGTAAGTTTTGTAGACATCAATATTATATGTTTTGATTTCATCATAACTCTGTGGACCTATGACAATGTTAAGTAGGACTCTAAAAAAATATTCATCTTCCATTTTCCTTAAGACATAGTTAATATGACCTAAAGAAAATCCACTGGATCTCTTTTTAAACTGCTTATTTGTTACATCCGAAGTAAAATATGCTGGAATTTCGGCATATAGACAGTCTCGAGCATGTTTTTTATTATTTCTAACTGCATTTTTTCTATTCAAAATCAACCAAGCCAAAAATTGAGAACCTTCACTGGATATACGTTCAAGAACCTCTTCTATATGAGCCTTGACATCAAAATAAGCTGGTTGCTTCCTTTCAAAGTGAAAAGATAATTTTTGTACAAGAGTTGATCTATGTTGAATTGGAAATTTGAAAATCCTACAAGTAGCCTCTGACGTTGATACTTATCTAAAGAAAGAGTATTTATTAAAAAAAAAACTATTTCATATAGGAAAACAATATTTGAAGATAAAGGTTAGAGAAAAAACTAACCAGCAGTTGAACCAATCTTTGATTTCATTCTTCTTTTTCTCAGTTGAACCTCGTTCTTGACCAAGAGTTGCTGTTTCACCAGTTGTAGTCTGCTTTACTGGCTCTACAATGTATACAACTTTATATGGTCTTTTTTGATATACTTAAATAAGTATTTGATAGAACCATTCTGATTGCACCATTCCACGTTGATATGAGCGTTATATCGAAGAGAAAGTTTCTTATTATAAGACTACTTACAATGGTCATTTTTGAAACTGTTTAATTAATTATTCTACTATTGAATCATTACAATGATATGTTGAATAAAAAAAAATGATAATGTGGAGACAACATGGTTGAAGAGATTCAACTGCGTTAAAAAAAAAAAAAGAAGATGAGTTTCACTTTGACATGTGGCAGACAGTGAATGAGTGATTTGTTTTTAATTATATGATAGTATTTGGATAAAAACAAGTATTCTGTTTCTATTGGATGATGGAATTTTAGATATTTCTTATCCAACCTAATTATTTGATATCAATTATGTCATAGAATATTAAATTTTATATTAATATTTTTATACCAAAATTTATTTTCATACTCTATAAATAGAGACTTGTTTCACTTAATTTGAACAGACAAAAAAACTTATTTTTTTAAATATATTTTGCTATCATCCTTCAGAAACTCTCGTTTATTGTTTTACTCGTCTGTTTAGGAAAATAGATCCCAATAATTACCTTTTTAGCTCCCAAAAGTTTTCAAATTACCCTTTTAACTACCCAAATCCCAACAATTATCAGTTTTAAAATCAATCTCCCAACTATCCCATCATATACCAATTAAGTTATGAGTGTTTTCTTACTTGTGTTTTATGATTATTGTATTGCATTTTAAGTTTCTCGTTAATGTATGTGTTTTATTAATGACTATTTGTATTTCTTGTTTTTATTATTTACAAAATAAAATTAAAATTAATATACAAATTAAAAACAAGAACAAAAATTATTTATAATTTTTTTACTTATTTTAATTTCATTTGATATGAACTGTGATTAATAATATGTAATCACAAAAAACATAAACATAAATAAAATAAAAAATATGAAATAAAAATGGTAGGGTAAAGTGTTGTAATTTTATTAAACAAAACTAATGTAGAGAGAAAAATTATGTAAGTATTAAATTATGATGTGGAGTGTTAAAATGAAAAAATGGGTGTTGTAAACATAAAACCAATGTAGATAGACTAAGGCACAACATACATACTGTCACATTTAATACCACCTTCCTCAATATAGACTTTTTTCTTCCTACTGCTATAGACTGGGTAACCATCACTACCAACCTTTGTGATATCTTGATGGTTTTTCGGATATAGTTTAGAATACTGGCCACGTTTGTCCGACGGTCCCATTAAGAGAGATGGCGGTCGGGGCGTTACAAGTGGTATCAGAGCCGAATCCAGACGAGTGTGGAGTCAAGACAACTCACACCGTCGGGGGTGACAGTCGAGGACGTTGCGATCTGTTAGTGGGGGTGAATTGTAACATCCCGGTTTGAGGAATATGGTAGTCCATGAAGAGAGGTTTAAAAGAATTGATTTGGCTACCTATGTCATCAAAGTGCACTTATCTTTTCAGTCAACTGTCCTGAGAGCACTCCAGGGTTAAGCGTGCTTGAGCTAAGAAAGTTTCAGGATGAGTGACCTTTCAGGAAGTGATTGTCAGAGCTGTGTGAGTGAGGAAAAAACACAGAGAAAGATAATGTGGTGATTAGTAGGGTCAGTAACAAGTATTTAAAGCCTCCCGGAATTAGCGGACATGCCGTTGGAAGATGGTGGGCCCACGAGCCTAGAAAGAACGTGGGACCCATTAAGAGAGATGGTGGTCGGGGCGTTACAAAATTGTATTTAGTTTTTCTGTATTTAACATATTCAAACATAAAACATACTAATCGTACAATGTATATTGTAAAGCTATCTATATATACATTCTAATTACACAACTAAATAGGTTATATATATATATATATATATATATGCTATTTTATAAAAAAAAAATTCTCTTATTATCTAACGAAAATATCGTCCCGCGGTGTACCGCGAATCAATCTCTAGTGTTGTGTAAATATGGTTTTATTCTTTCTATATTAAAAGAAATTCATTGTTGCTCATGTGCCAAACCCACAATTTTTCTAATCAATGTTATCTATATCAGAAAATTCTACTATACATATTGCCAAATATATTTATTACAAGATATTACATATTTTCTTTATTCTAACATCAATTTCCAAACACATTTGAAGAATCCTAACTTTAACAAAAATACTTCAAAAACTCAAATCTTATCATTAAACGTGAACAAAATTTTCAGTATTTAAATCGGCATTTAACGTATATAAACAACACATTTGTGGAAGCCCCCTTGGCCCATTGGTTGAACAAAGGTTAATTAATGCTTCTACACCCAGAGGTCTGGGGTTCGAGTCCCAGATACTACGATTTATTAATAAATTTGCAGATTATTGGAGGCAAGTGTGCAGGAGATCTCCAGCGATGTACAATTATAGCCGTTCGCCAGGATTCTACGCAGAGTGAGAAGTGTCCATCAAGAACATAAAGAAGGAGGTGAAGAAGGTGTCGTCTGTCGTGGATCTAATAAGGGTCGGAAGGAATTGTCCGTTGTAGAATCGTCTATGTAAAAGTTCTCATAATTTGCAATAAATAATAAATCCAGACGTTAAAAAAAAAAAAAACAACAGACATTACTTTCTAAAATTTAAAATCGTAATATTGAAACCATAACTAAACCAACTGCTAGGCCTTCTTTTAGCCATCAAATTGAGTGCTTGTTGCGAACAACTCTTTGTTCGAGCGAAAGTAAAAATTACGGTGAAAAAACACAACATTGAATAAAAATGAATCAACAAAATGTTATAATAAAGAGATGAGTATAATTATTTACTAACTAAAATTTTTAAAATGTGTATTATATGAAGGGTTAAAATAAATAGACACTACCATATAAGGCAAATTTACGGTTGACTAAAATTTTTATAATCATTCCAAAAAAATTTCAAGATCAAGAATTATAAGAAATTTTTAATATTAGAATGACATATGTTAAGAAATAGTTTAGAGATTATATAATAATGTTGGTTACTGAAATTCAATTTCTTTGGATTCATCATAAAAACAAAAAATCAGTGGTTTGAATCAAAATATTTTAAACATCATTAATCGGCTGCTTCAATACGGGTTAAATCTTTATTTTATTATTTTTTACCACCACCAATATCAGAATCGAATGATCCTGACTAAAATAAAATTGTATAAAACAAAAATAATTATGTGGTATACCATTATTAAATAATTGTAAATTATAAAATATAAAAGTCTTATAAAATGTTACAATTTGCAACTTTTATATATAACATATAACCATTAAATTTTTAAAAATATGAATATTAAAAACAAATCTTCCAGCGGTATACCGCGGGTAAAAATCTAGTATATAGTTAAAAGGACAACATTTTAAATAGACACACATGTTCGTCAAAGAAAAAACTATTAGAATGGAAAGTTGTGATAAAGAATACTAATATGACATAGTGAAAGACACAACTCTAAATGAACATATGAACTTAAAAAAAAAAACATAACTGTATAAGATGCATTTTTAAATTAAATGATTAAAAATCTAACTTCTATTACAAAAAATTACGATAAAAGACACAACTATAGAAAGCATTTTTCGAATTACCTTCAATCTGGGCCGTCATTTAATATCAAAATAAGTTACCATTTTTTGAATTTGTGTCAAAGAACAAAGTTTGGTAGTTATTTAGGCAAAAAAAGAAAATATATAGAGTTCAGAAGACATTAACAATTAAATAGAGATAATTGTTTCTAAAAGACATAACTAGTGGAACAAAAGTTTTGATGGAAAACACAAATAAAATATATATAGTGAGACATAACTATAAATATGAATAGTTGCAACTTTGTAAAAAGACACAACCATAAATATTATTAAAATTAGAAATAAAATAAAAATATTTAAAGAAGAGATATGATGAAAGATGCAAGTCAGGCAACCGTAAAAATAATTCAAAATTTTTATTATTATCTATACTAAAAGCCAAAAGTAGTACTTAAAATGCTGAAATGATTTATAATTGTTTTATATAGTAATAATAATAAATCATTTATTTGAATTTATTTTTTGTACTAATATTAAAGTTACAGGGATCTGCGTATGCAAACATACACAAGTATATTAATACAAATATTTAAGATACTAGCTACATCAGTAGATCGAGATCCAAACGCATATACTAATTTGTTGAAGTGGGAACCAAAGGCATACCCATCAGGTTCAAATTTTGCCACACTTCAACACACTTCCTTCCATTTCTCTCCCAACATCATCCCTCAACTTGTCGTAAACACGTTCTTTAAACCCTCTTGGTTCGGCTTAGGCTTCACCGTCGTCACTTCTTGGTCGCTCTCTCAATCGTACAACACCGGCACTCTTGCTCTTGCCTTAACTCCCGGAGCAACATTACATTTCCCAAAGTTTCCCTTTAGAACCCTCAGAACGGAATTAAGCTTCAATTAAATTTTCCAAAAAAAAATATATATATTTGAAAACTGAATTCTCTATTAATATGAAAGATGGGTAGGTGTGTAGTAAGTTGGTCAGCGATGCATGTGACAGTCATCGGGTAGACTCTATAGAGAGCCCTAAATAAATGAAGCTTGTGGTGGAAAATTGTAGAGAAGTAGTATTTAAGTTGGTCTAGCTTAACCACCATATGATCAATACAAGAAGTGTTTTCTCTATATACATTTTGTGATCAGATAAGTAATCAATCAAAAGATGGAAGGTAAAACTGTGATTTTCAGTGTGCTTGTAATAGGTCTTGTCGTCATCGCGCAAATTCAAGTAGAAGCAGAATTCCTAGTCTGCTGCCCAAGCGAGTCATCCAGGGAGAACTTTGATTTATGCATTTCCTACGGAGCTTCTCAGCCAGCTTGTTCATCTATAACTGGATGCGTCCGGTTTTTAGGGAGTACATGTCCTCCATTTCTTCCGGATGAAATTGTAAAAAACTCGGGTAAATTGAACTCATTTAGTTATGTTGTATGAATTGTGATTTATTAAAGTTGTTCAAGGATGGATCAAGATTCCATTTTTGATACAATTTCATGTTTTTTTTTTTGAATCAAAGTGATGCTGTCAGTGTATACTGCAATTTGGGCTGTGCATCCTCTCTATGTGGTGGCTTAACCACTCTTCACAACAAAGGTACAGCAAGCTCTCCAAGTACAATTATTATTACTATTAATCTATTATTATTAAAACAAGAGAAATCATGCTAATTTTGTTTGGGTGACCGCGAATGGAAAAGCAGTGTTCTAAAATGCGCTATAAGCTAGGCGTACGGTGGAGCACCGTATAGCGTATAGACGTATATATGGCCGTTTATGCGGAAACTATACGGTGGATATTTTTGTTAAATAAATAAGTAAATATAAATATATATATATATATATATATATATATAATAACAATAAAACATCAATATAATAACATGATGAATGCTATATATGAATACAAAAAAAATTCAAATTTTCAACTTTACAAAATATTATAAAAATTTTAAATAACTAATAAGCATAAAATAATAGAAAAGAATGACAATAAAGTTATTTTATAGTTAATTATTATGATTAATTTTTTGAGAGCCAAATTAATAATTTTGTTAAATCATTATTTCAAACTAATAAAATTACATAGTTTTTGTTTTTGAGTTTTTTTTTTTAAAAAGCGCTGTATATGCGGATTTCACCATATATACGCCGTATAATCTCCGTATATACGGACCATATAGCTTTCACCGTACGGTTTGTACGGCCGTATATACGCTGTACGGTGGGAAGCCGTACTGTATTATAGCTATACAGTTGTTTAATACGGTGAAAGCTATACGGTCCAAGACAAGGAATTTTTCTTCCTGCTAATACACTTTTAATTAACTCTCACAGCATGGTGTGATTCGGATTGGGCTGTGTGTCCTTTAACACGTTATTCGATCACTGGATGGTTTATGCACCTTGGTGGTTCTCCATTGTCTTGCAAAACTCGCAGACATGACACAGTCTTACCCGCTGAATCTGAATACTGAGCCATGGCCGATACCATTAGCAAAAATTTGGTTTCGCGAGTTGTTACCTGCTATTGGTATTGATTGTTCTTCTTCTACTATGTTGCACTCCAAGTCTCCAATAGCTTATCTGCCATCATTACATCTACGAATCCCGTCTATCATGCTCGCACAAAATATGTAGGTTCGGATTGCCATTTTGTAAGAGATGAGATCATTCGCGGAACTATTCCCCCCCAAACACATCTCGACCAAGACTCAACTTGCCTACATTATGACTAAACAATTTGAGGATCTCCTTCTCAAGCATGGTGTTTGTAAATTGTAACCTACACACTCCACCTTGAGGGGGTATTTGGGGCCCCTATGGTCCGTACGTTTCTATCTTGTAATTAGGTCATGAAATATGTCTTAGTTTATAGCTTGTATTAAATAAGAAAACCCTTTAATTTACAACCACTAGGGTTTCTTGACGATGAATCCTTATGTTACTTGTGTTTGATTTCTCCTTGTATCCATTTCATTATGAGAATATTGGTCCAATTCGTATTACATGAAATTTAACTGAAAAAACAAAATTACATTAAAAAATATTATTATATTTATAAGAACCTCAACTTTCTTTTATACCGATGGAGTTTCTCTAAAGGATCATGTTCTTTTCTGAGTCGCTAATTCAGTGACAGTGACAAGAAAATAGATGCGGACGGAGTCGTAGCGTACAAAACAGCCGCTACTACTATTAAACCGTGTCGCTGGAATTTTAAGCGACAGGTGCATCAACTCATTTGATCAGGAGCAACGACTCTTCTCTCTCCACATGCTGACGTCAAGGTCCCCCACTCAATATTTTTATTAATAAAAAATGATTCGTGATTTTTTTTGTTTTGGTAGAAAAAAATGATTCGTGATTTTTACACTGATATGAACTGAGCTTATATAGGCTCGTTATTAAAACTAATAATAGTCTAAGATAATTACAAGAAAAATAAATCAACATAAGTATACCAATCAACAAAGGATTAATTGAAATTGCATTTATGGGTGATTTTATTGGCCAAGTATTGGAAAGAAGAAGGTTATTTATATCTAGGTAGCTTGGGCATGAAGTTGTTCACTCTTGAAAGCTTCTTGAAGGTATAGAAGTCCTCAAAAACGTGCCTTGTAAGTTTGGTAGAGAGCTATTGGCGTTTTAATGCAATTGGATTTAAATAAGAAAAATCTTGTCTTAAATGAATTTGTTCGATCATGTGCGGTTCGGTGCAACTATGAACGAGTATAGAAGCCTCTTTTATGTATTTCATGATCTTTAAATTTGATTTCCACATACGAAGTGATCGTTGCACCCTCCAGTCTTTTGTGGGAGTCACCTAAGGTTTAAAAAATATTACGAACAACAATAGATTTTTCGCGAACACATACAAAAAGAAAACTATTCATAATTAACTAATGTCTCTGGAATACTGCGTAATCACATAATACAATGAGAATATGTATAAAGTAACATTTGACTTAAAAAAATTAATAAAATAACCTTTGACCAAATAGTACTCATTTGCTACAGAATTTTTGATAATTTTTTGTCTATTTCGTCTTTTTGCTTTCTTCTTCTTTTTCTTGTTTATTATTTTCCCTCTCACGAGATTTCAACCATTAAGCTCTCTTTCTCTCTCATTGAATCTCTTTTTTTTTTTTTTTTTCTAAAACTCATTCACCAAGGAATCTCTTTTTTCTTTTTTCTCCTTCTCTCTTTCGCGTCGAATCTTTTTCACAACCGGATCTCTTTTTTTTTACCCATATCTTTCTAGTATCAGATCTCTTCACGACATATTCTCTCTTTCTTTTTCCTATAAATCTCTTCCTCTCTCATCCCTTGGTCGTTCTCTGTTTTTCCTCCTCTCGTCAGTGTGATATAAGAGATTAGATCTGATTTTAAAACACATGTCTGATTTTTAAAATACTTCGTGTTATATATGAGAATTGCATGCTTTTTGTAACTGGATCGTGCTATTTTAAAGAATCACATAATTTTCCACTGTTTATCCTCCTCGCTGGATTTCTCCACCACTCGCCAATGTGATATAAGAGATTATATATGATTTTAAAACACATGTCTGATTTTAAAAATACATGTATTCTAAAGACAAAACATGCTATTAACACTGATATATAAATATTTGACAAGCTATCCAACAAAAACCATGAAAGTTTGTAACAAATACATATATTATATAATACTTGGTGTTATGTAAGAGAATTGCATGCTTTCGGTAAATAGATCGTGCTATTTCAGAGAAACACATGATTTTTTAATAAGAGTTGTACACAATCATTAAAAACTTTATAACTACTACCACCGACATTGTTGTAAAAACAAGAAAATAGAAGGATATTTTAGTATTTATCTCACTCCACAAAAGGTTATTTACTTATGTTTTCTGACACAAAGCTATTCTCTTAATTCTTTTCTATTCTATGGTTAGTTTGTAATATTACCCTAATACAATATGTAAAATAAAAAATTATAGAATGAAAAATTACAAAATAAAATTACTTTATAAATTGTGGAATTGTATATATATTGCGGAATGAAAAACGTAATATTACATTCCCAATATAATTATTTTTTAATAAAATAATATTTTTAATGAACTTTAATATGTCTTAAGTAATATTTGATAAAAAAAGTTATATAGGAATATTAAAACTATACTAAGAATTGTTAAAAATTTGTGAAAGATTTAGATATTATTGAAAAGTGGTATATTTTTCATTGTAAACAATTTACTACTTAAATAATTCTTAATTTTTTTCATAGGTAAAACAAAATAAAAATATCTAATCACTTGTCATGAAATAAGTAACTATATACCCACTTATTTGTAAAATGTATTTTTAATTGAGATTTTAAGCAAAAACCGATTTTTATTTATTTTATTTTTGTGTTTCGTCGAAAATATGCATGTTTTAATTATTGATAAATTAATTTTTTCCATATTGATTTATATATAAATTACTTGCATAATCTCAATAAAAACATTATTTTCTCTATTATGTGTGTTATTATAGTTGGAGCCATATTTATAAAATTCGTTTTGTGACCAAGTTTAACTAGTTATTTCTGAAGCTATGCAAATGCACACAACTATACGAATACAAATATTTGATATATATACAACAACAGCTATAAGAAGTAATATTTACAAACACATATACCAATTTGTGACCGAGATCTAATTGTTTTATGTGCTTACATTTGCGACTCTAACAAGTGGGAAGCAAAGGCAAATCAACCTCATCACACCACTCTACACATCTAGTCTCATAAAACAAAGTGTTCAACTTGTTTGGCCAATAAGTTAGCCAAATTTTGCCACCCATTCTCCACTTCAACACACTTCCTTCCATCTCTCTCCCTACTCTCCACCCAACTTCATCTCCATACGCATCCCTTCCAAATACCATCCCTCCACTCTTCGTAAACACATTCTTTAAACCCTCTTGGTTTGGCTTCGGCATAACCGTTGTCACTTCTTGGCCGCTCTCTCTATCGTACAACACCGCATCGAAAACAGCTGCGTTTCCTTCACTCTCCTGCTCGATTCTCCAATCTTTAACCTTCCTCTTCGTTGACATTCTTGCTCTTGCCTTGACTCTTGGAGCCACTTTACCTTTTCCGAAATTTCCCTTTAGCACCCTAGTCACCTCAATATCTCTCTCTTCGTTCTTCGTTGACTTTCCTAGGCTTAGCCCCGATACGTGGCTCGACCCGAGTTCTGGCCCGAGCCAGACCCGTACCCGTGACGGGAAGTACCTCTCCTCCGAGTAACAATCCGCTATCTGATTCTCCACGCCAACTCCTCCTTTGTTAAACCCTAACTTTGATACGTGGATGCGTATGTTGTCTACACGTGCGTTCACTTTTATGTAGTTCTCGTAGAACCTAACGGAGTATTCAAACTGTACTAGTATTTCCGCTTGTTGATGCGACAAAGCGTAACGTAGGACAGCTTCTTTAGGCTCTACGAATGGAAACTTGATGATCTTGTTGTGAACCTCGTTAGAGCTATTATTTGTGACGTTCATTGACAAGATTGGGAAATAGCCTTTCAAGATCCAAAGCCCATGAGCTTCTGTTGCATACGAAAATCCCAATGAATGACGAGGCATGAGGCTGCTACTTAACTGTTTCAACCCGAGATTCCCAAGTCCTATCTCTTTAGAGATCATCCATTTGGATAAGGCGTAAGAAGCGGCTCGTACGATACACAGCTCGGCGTCTACACCAAGTGAAACGAGAAACGTTCGTAACACAGGTGCGTGTTGACATGTAAGCGCGTTCACGTGTGGACCTAGTAGGTGTTGG